AACAAATGCTTGTAAGTCACGAACTACTTGTGGGTAAGAGAGAGTGGGAAGGCATTTGCCTGACATGCGTTGTTGTGTTACTGCAGCATCTAGGTGAACTAGGCAGAATAGAATTGGTTGGATGGGAGACCACCAGGAAATCTCAGGACAGTAAGTTAGATGGAGAATTTAAAAAAAAATCCTAGAAGAAAAAGCAAGCTACTTAGATATTGGTCTGGCTAAGAAAATTGCCAAAACCTATCCATTTGGTCATGAGTAACTTAGTTTAGTAGCCATTACCTTTTTTGTGTGGTTCAGTGCACACCCCATTGATTGGCTTCGTTTGTGGTTCAGTTCAGCTTGGGCAAAGCCAGGAAATGGGTTAATTCAATATCCCAATGTCAGAAGACATTTGTGTTTCTAAAGCATGGCTGCAAAACACATTTGCCCTAAGACTCTTCAATCCAGAATATATTGGTGACTATATTAGTAAATACAGTATGTTTATTAATGCTGATATGTTGAATTGTTTTGCCTTGATTTCATTTTTAAAAGATTTCTAGTCATTTCCCCCCTAGATCTTCAAATTAATAGCAATAGCACTTTGATTTATATACTACTTTACAGTGCTTTTACAGTCCTCTCCAAGTGGTTTACAGAATCAGTCTATTGCTCCCAACAATCTGGGTCCTCATTTTACTGACTTCGGAAGGATAGACGGCTAAGTCAATCTTGAGCCGATCAGAATTGAACTCCAGGCTGTGGGCAGAGTTTGCCTGCAATACTGCATTCTAACCACTGTGCATTCCAAGCAATGTAAAGTTTACTTAAAATATTTTTTCCCCTTTGGTCACTTGGTTATCCCATTTTTACTTCTCTTTTAGATGGTTGACATTTTGCTGGTCTTGAGTGCCCTCTGTAATGCAAACACCGTCCAAGGGTGAAGCATAAATGTTTATATTAACAAACCAATAGCGCTATATTATGCAGCCAGGTAATACAGCAAAAAGTATTAAGCAATATGTAGTAGGTTAATAACCACAGTAATTACAGGAAATGCAGACTGAAACGTAATTCAAAGTATAATACTTATAGCTTAAAATACATTAAATTGCTTGAAGAGACTATTTGAAGATGCAGTATAAAAAAATTATCTGATGCCTTATGAATATTTTCCTCTCTTCCTGAAAGTAAAATGAAGTCCATGTGCCTGAGTTCAACTTTTCAAACCCTGGCTGCAATGGTTTGATTTTAATATAGCCCCCTTATTTCAACTTTAGATGAAATTAGTTTAACTATCCCTTGTTTGAACCTATTTGCTCTTATCCATGATCTCAAGGCTTAATTTAGCCATAATTTGTTTTGAGCCATGATCTGTTAAGTAAGAACTAATTGGTTCACAGATAAAGCTGATTGCTGAATCATATTATAAACTATGAATTACCAACTAACCATCGTGTGATGCTTAAATTTAACCAAAGTCTGAACTGGAACAACTGGATATAATTAAAAGATCACAACAGGCTCAGCAGTTTGTAAACCTTATTCATATTTCTAATCAAGGCAGCTAAAGCTGCATAGAGAATTACTCCTGTGTTTGCACAACATGTAAAGGCAACATCAAACAAAGTAAATTATGGCTTAAGATGAAGCATGAACCAAAATTTATATTGCCAAAAGCTTTTAGATGCAAATATTGAATTAAACCCAACCTTTTCCGGAATAGACCTTTGGATTTGGCCTACTACCCATCCATATTTCCCAATAGATGCAAGGGAATTAATAAGGATAATTAATAATAATACGGCAAAGTTTCAATTTGGAGATTAAATTTGAAGCTGATTCAGCCAAATCTTTGAATCTATGTCTACTTCTGAAATGGAGCAGGAAACAGCATTGAAGTGGTAAACGAAATGCTGAAGTGGGCCAGGAAATAGCATTGAAGTTGTTTCTGAAATATTAGAAAAATCAAGTTGGCCTAATTTTCCAAATTTTTGAGTTAACAATTGGTTCAAATTAGTTTCTTAGTCTGCAGTTGATTCAAGCGGTGTTTTTTTTAATTAATCACTTTTAAATTTTAACATTAAAATTCTATAGACAGCTGCTTTTATCACATTTGATAATTTTTGGTACTATATTTGATTATTATAACATTTTAGAACTCTGGGAGACTTTTATGGCTGAAAATAATGCATGGTTTAGAACAATATACATTGTAATGATAATAGTTTTCAGTACTATGATAATATGTTGCACTAATAGTTATAAAATGATTCAAAATCTTGTAACAATAAACATATTTCTTTATATCGTTATATTTTAACAGCTCTTATGATGAGGAAGCAGGGCAACCTATAGTGTTTCATGCCATTTTTATAGCTGCCCATGTCAACCTCATTAACTGGTTACTAAACTTGAGCAGGGGATGGACTAGAAGACTTCCAAGGTAACTTCCAACTCTGTTATTACAAAATAATAAATATTTTTTTGTTGGAGGGAGGTCCAAAGCTGGGTTTTTTGGTGGGCATTTTATCCAGAACTTTATCCAGAACTTTCTATGGTAATCAATAAATAATTCTGACTTTTTATTATTATTTTTTATTTTTTGAATAGACACAAACAAACAAGACACAATAAACACCATAAAAACATATTCCATTACAAATTATAAAAAGTGTGTCAATTGGTTACAAAGAACCTCTGTGCATCCCTTCCACAATCATCACCTATAATCCATATCAAATTATATATTTTACATCAAATATATTTATATATATATTACTATCATCATACCTCATCCTTCATATGACTATAGTTGTTTTAACATCCCTTTATAACAGATATTCCAAAATTNATGGCCCCTCCCAGAGGAAATAAAAGAGGAGCGAAAGGGGAGTGGAGTTTGCAGGAGACAATTCGTTTGCTTCATTGGCTCGTAAATCTCCGAGACTCCTTGCCAAGTTTTGCAGATCTCGGCCTGGCAGCTCTCCAAGCCAGATAAAGTCTGTGACCGTAAATCTTCCTTTGAAAGACTTTGCTGGAGGTGAATGAGCAGAATTCACAAGAAATTAATAAAAGGGTTTTTTATCGGGACCAGGAGTTTATTACATGCTCTTAGGAAGCCTCAGTCAGAACAATTATTTTCTGCCTGCAGCGGTACAGGGCCTCTCGGCTCCAGGCCACTGGAGGACACACAGCGACCCCCACGCAGCTGACGGACTCCCAACCTCCCTCGGCGACCAAAACGCCCGATCCAGAAGAGGCCGTCACGGGACGCCAGAGAATCCCGCCCCCTTGCGAGTCCCCTGAGGTAATCCAGACGTGCTCTGGGTACTTTGAAACGGAGGACATCTGCGGAGTCCTGGTCATCGACGAGAGGAGCAGCCCCTCCTCGGCGGGGAGCGAGAGCTCGGTGGGGCAAGACGGCGAGGGGTCAGGGGAGGGGGCCGGACTGCACCCCCCGGGAGAACAGCCTGGCTTGGAAATGCAGCAAAAACTGGCTGTAGAACCTGCCTCAATGGAGCCAGGAGAAGCCGAACCGAGCGAAGGGCCGGCCAGCCAAGATGGGGCACCATCCACGCCGGGCGAAGGGGAGACGGTCACTACCCCCCGGAGGTCCAGCCGGCGCAGGGCGAGATGAGAGCAGAGGCGAAGCTATTTTTCCCCCTCTGTAGTTTCCCCCCCCCCCCAAGAGTTTCCTTCCCTCCCTTGGCCTTATGACTTTTAGCAAAAGAGAAACTTCTACTTTTCCTAGTTGGTTGTTTAAAAAATAAAATTTAAAAGAAAAAGAAAACGCCCCAGCCATTTTTTTTTCTGTCTTCAATGCTTACCGTATTTTTTTTTAGAAAGAGAGAAAGAAAGAAAGAAAAAGAGGAAGGAAGGGAAATTAAAAAAGGAAGGGGAAGAAAAAAGGGAAAGAAAAAAGGAAAGGAAGGGAAAGAAAGAAGGGAAAAAGAAAAGAAAGAAAAAGAGGAAGGAAGGAAAATTAAAAAAGGAAGGGAAAGAAAAAAGGGAAAGAGGAAAGGAAGGGAAAGAAAGAAAGAAAGGAAAAAGAAAGAAAAAAGGAAGGAAGGGAAATTAAAAAGGGAAAGAAAAAAGGGAAAGAAAAAAGGAAAGGGGAAAGAAAGAAAGAAAAAAAAAGAAAGAAAAAGAGGAAGGAAGGAAAATTAAAAAAGGAAGGGGAAGAAAAAAGGGAAAGAAAAAAGGAAAGGAAGGGAAAGAGAAAAAAAGAAAGGAAAAAGAAAGAAAAAAAGAGGAAGGAAGGGAAATTAAAAAAGGAAGGGGAAGAAAAAAGGGAAAGAAAAAAGGAAAGGAAGGGAAAGAGAAAAAAAGAAAGGAAAAAGAAAGAAAAAAAGAGGAAGGAAGGGAAATTAAAAAAGGAAGGGGAAGAAAAAAGGGAAAGAAAAAAGGAAAGGAAGAGAAAGAAAGAAGGGAAAAAGAAAGAAAAAAAGAGGAAGGAAGGGAAATTAAAAAAGGAAGGGGAAGAAAAAAGGGAAAGAAAAAAGGAAAGGAAGAGAAAGAAAGAAGGGAAAA